CTGGTTGAGGAATGTGATCACTCTTAGCTCCCAGGGCATCTGTTCATTTACCAGTTTAAAATGAGACTCCCTCCCCCTTCAGTTTACCTCATAAATAGAGAACCTGCTTATATAGGCCTTCCCAGGGGGACGACTCCCCTCTGCTAGCTTTTTCTTTTCAAAGTTAGGGGTTACTTGGTCTCTGAGGGGTAGGCCAAAGAGGAGAAGAACGTAACTGAAAGCATTTTTTGTTTTTCTGGCCAAGACTGCTAGAGACAGCTGAGTAAAGCAACTAGTATTCCTTAAGTGTCAGAGAAGGGTGTAATCAGACACTTTTGAAGACCAGCCCATTTCCCCCCAGCTGCTGGCTAATCCTATTATGTGATGACTACTCTCACCTGCTAACCTTGAAATTAACTGGGAGGAGTTCAGATAACTCTCAACCCACTTCATTAAAATGTCTACCAATTGGGATTGTCTTATCTTTGCTAGGGGAGGTCCAAATGATATACTGTCAGGTCAATCAGAAGATCAGTCACCTAGGTTTAAAACACCAGGTTTGCTCTCGCTCCAGGATTTTGGTAATTTAGAGGCACTACTGACCCAATTTATTGGTTACTGCTTTTGTTTTTCAGTCTTCTATAACTCTTCGTGACCTTATTTTTGGTTTTATTTTTTCTTTTTTAACTTCTTTTTCCCCTTTTTGTGAGGCAATCGGGGTTAAGTGACTTACTCAGGGTCACACAGCTAGTAAGTGTCAAGTGTCTGAGGTCAGATTTGAACTCAGGTCCTCCTGACTCCAAGGCCAGAGCTCTGACCACTGCACCACCTAGTTTTCCCCATTTTGGATTTTCTTGGTAGAGATACCGGAGTGGTTTGTGATTTCCTTCTCCAGTTCATTTGACAGATGAAGAAACTGAGGCAAATATGTTAAGTGACTTGCCCAAGGTCACATAGCTAAGGAAGTGTTTGAGGCCAGATTTGAACTCAGGAAGATGAGTCTTCCTGACTCCAGGCCCAGCACTCTTCACTGTACCACCTAGCTGCCCCCATTGGTTACTGCTTAGCTAACTAATAAATTGATCATGCTGAGGTGCCAATATGACCTGTTTCACTAACAGTATACAGGTCACTGTTATTAAATGATATGACCATTTGATATGAATTAAAATTAAAAAGATCTTGCTCTGGAGGAAAATTGTATCTCAGCATCATTTTTACTTGTTACAGTCTCTAGTCTAGCACCTCTTTGCCAAGATATGGGTCACTCAGTCTTCTAAAGTCATGATCGATCACTGCTTTGATCATAGTTTTAAAGGCTTTAAAGTTGTTTCACTTTATATTATGGTGGTCATCCTATAAATTGTCATCCAGTAAATTGCTCATTTTGTTCTGCATGAATTTACAGCACAATATATAATCTACTAATACCATCATTTCCATTCCACAGCTTTGCTACCCGCTTTGTTTCCAGTTCTTTGCTATAACAACAATTCCTACTATAAATTTTTTTTTACACAGCTTTGACCTTGCCTGGTTAAAGTATGCAGTTTAGGGACTTTTGGTATATTGTTCCAAGTTGCTTTCCAGAATGGAAAATGTTACTGTTCCCCAACAATTGCATTTTCTATCTTTGCTAATTTGATGGCTGTGAGTTAGAATCCTAGAATTGTTTTAATTTGTATTTCTTTATTATTAGTGACTTGGAACATTTTTTTCCACCTGGTTGTTCCTAGTTTGTTATTTTTTTTTATTTGAAAGTTGTCCTTTCACATTCTCTGACCTCTTATTTATTGAGGAGTGGCTTTTTCATATTTATATCAGTTCTCTAATTATCTTATGTTTGAGCCCTTTATGAGAAAATTGCTGTTATGATTTTTCCAGTTACGTGCTTTTCTTCTAATTGCATTTACTTCGAAAAATACTTTCACTTTTATGTAATCAAAATTGTCCATTTTTATCTTCTATGGTTACCTTTATCTGCCATGCAAATTCTCAAAATGCCAGGTCACAGTGTTCTCCTTTCTTATCTCTCACTATGGAAAAGGGCAAAGAGTTCACATTATTAAGTAGTTAATTACCAGTCTCTGAGGTAGTTTTCCCCCCGACATTTGTTACATGTCTCTATACCACCCAGTTGCAAGGCAGTTCCTTTGGTAGTACTTTAAACTTTTGGTAGTACCTTAAAGAATTTAATTTCTTAAAGACCTTTTGGTAGTACCTTAAAGGTTATCAACTCTAGACCTTTAAGTTTGTGATCCCTTTAATTTGCTTATAATTTTTTATATTTAGGTTAAGTATCCATTTGGATGTTATTGTGATATAAGTGTAAGGGTGGATCTCTGTTTTTTTTCCCCAAACACTTAAAAGTACTGGTGGTATGAGCGATATTCTAACCCCTCCAACTTTTAGGTTGCTTTTTCCTTAAAAGGTATGACCTTTTTGGAGAGTTGGTTGGCTTAGAGGAATAAAGGCTCATACTATTGATATTGCTTCCTCAGCACGTGAATACAAAGCAGCCACCAAATGCTCCAAAGGTGCTTGAAAATGGGTAACTCAGGCAAAGGAGCTTTCCTCAGCTGAATCAACTCGAGGTGCCCTCAATAACCATTCTTGTTGAATATACTTCCTGCTATAGCTAAGTAAATCTCTTTTTAAAAAATTGTTGAATGACCTTTGAATGTCTCATTTTGTTTCAATATCCTACCAGTGGATAGCCTGAATTAGGCACAGACCAGAATACTTTGTAACAAAAGAACACTTATTGGTTGAATTAATCATAACTGAGTCTGATTGGTGCCTCTACACCTCCTCGAATCAAAGTTATTTCATGAGAGACTTGATTACACCCTGAGGAATTTGTATGAAAGGGAGGAGGTATCTCAGAACCAGACAGAGAATTTCGAAGTGGAGTGGGAAGAAAAGAGGTAAGGCATGTACTGAAAGCCCAGGGAAAGGAGAAGGAAAAGGTAGTATTGAGCTGTAGTAGAGAAGGGAAATCTTGAGGAGTTCCGTCAGCTATATAGATCTCAGAGCAGAAGAACAGTACTAAGAGTGCTTTCCCCAATTTCTCCCACTGCCTGCCTGTCCTCAGACACTAAAATATAATCTGCTGTTTCATTACCCAAATGTTTCTGATAATCTGAATTCTTCCTTAACTACAATGAGACCAGAAGTTAAGTATTTAAACAAAGATCCTAACCTCTGTCTAAATGTTAGGAATATTCCTAACTGGAGGCTTAGAGTTATTGTCATTACATTCAAACTTTTGTCTAAAATAAAGGAGGGAATGATGGGCCATGAATATTGCCCCAGGCTTATAACGCTATTTTTTTTTTTTTTGGTAACAAGGTGTTATATATTGTTTAAGATCTTGTTTTAGTCCTAATTTCTGCTATTCCCTTTCATAGTTTTCCCAACAGTTTTTGTTGACTAGGGAGACCTTTTATACCAGTAGGTGATGTCTTTATCAAACACTATTCTATTATGTCTAATTGTTTCTGGGTCCAAGCTTCTCTTTCAGCCTTATCTGTTACATAAACCCTATGTCACAGACAAAATAAACTACTTCATGTTTCCAGAACAACATGCCTCCTGCGTCTTGACCTCTATACCTGTACAAGCAAAGAATTCCTTCCATTAGGAGTGCCCTTCTTTCCCTTTGCGCCTGATCTCCACATGTAGAAATACCATCTATTCAAAGTCCAGATAACATGTCACTTCCCTTGTAAATTCTTCTCTGATCACACTCAAACTGAAGTGATCTTATTTCCTCTGTGCTACTATTATATTAACACTCCGGCATAGTTCATATTCTTGTGTACTGCATAATTAAGTACTATGGGGTTTTCTATAACATATTCTTGAAAGAATAAATAGTATTACATAGCATAGGTCACATGGATCTCAATTATTTTCTTTCATAAAACAGCATGACCTCTTCCGATAAAGAAAGTGTCTGGAGAGGTGATATTAGATTCAACTAAACAATTCAATGAGCAACTATTAAGCATTTACTTTTGCCAAGTACTGTGTTAGGTTCTGGGGATAGAAAGATGAGAATCAAATAGTCCCTTTCTTCAAGAAGCTTAGATTTAACTGGAGGAAAACAACATAAATACAGAAAAGTAAAAGAGACATATATGCAGAGTAAATACATAGTCATTTTAGGGTAGGAAGAAGCATTAACTATTGGAGGAGAGGGGAGAGGACTCAGGAAAGTCCCCATGGAGGATCTTGAGGTGAACCTTGTTTCCAAAAGACAAAAATGTTAGGGCTGAAGGTAGTATATTTTAATAATTAAGTCTCAGGGGGGGAACATCCTTGGACACTGCCTCTTGTGTTTTATGTGAGGATTTCTAATACTTCTACTTTGGGCAGCAAAAGCTGAATTTGATATTCAGGATCTTTTACCTAAACAGAAAAAAGTCCTGAGATTCTGCTCCTGAGGTTTGTTATCCTGCTTCCACTCCAAAAGGATGTTTAAAAATATATAAATATTTTTCTTTCCCAAATATAGTTCAGATGAAATTTCTTTAAAATTAAATTAAAACAAAAAAAAATAAGCTACATAATAATACTGGTCAGCAAGGACTTTTTATTTAATATTTTTACCTTTCTTGGAGGAAAATAAAAAACAAGGCAATATCAAATAAATAGTCTTATTGAAATTTCAAAAATATATGAATTACTTTTGAGAGGCAACAGGGAGTAATGGATAGTGTGGCATCCTTGATGTCAAGGAAACCTGTTTCAAGTCTTGCCTCTGATACATACTGGCTGGGTAACTTGGGACAGGGCGTACAGTAGAGGAAGTTCTTATATCAAATGAAATCACAGGTCTGGACCTCTTCCCTCCCTACCCAGCAAAATAATTTACTTTAAAACTTTCTTTAATACTTACACATTTTAATTAACACACATTGATTTTTTAGCTAGAATTGAATTGATTAAAAATATGTGTGTAGAAATGGGGATAGAGGCCACTTGGCAACTACAACAGTTCTTAATTTTTCTTTAAGATTTAGAGGATGACCAGAAACAAGCTATGGTTAGTGAACGTACAGAAGCCTTTACCACTGCACGAAATTTATTGGCCTCTGGAGCAGATGCCATTGAAAGGATCATGTCTTCATACAAAGAGGTACTGTATATTATTTACTGCCTACACTAAAAGAAGGGTATTTGAAAATTAAATAAAATGCAAATAGTAAATTAGTAGCAGTAATATTCACTTGGGAATCCTAATGCAGAAATTGCAGAAAAAATAAAATCACATTAGTGACTACAGCCTTTTTAGTGTTGATACTCATCATTTGCTTGATTCTTCAACATGTACATCATATTCCTCTTTCCTTTCTGCTTCTGGTATGATATATGCTATTTGTTTTCTAAATTAAAGAGAATTGTAATTACTTTGTTTTAATGAATTTTGAGAATCCTGTGACATAGGTACTTTAAAATAATTGTGACATATGGAAGTATTAGAGTCAATTATAGAAATTATTACACTAAAATCAAACATCTCCCCATGGACTTTCATTCCGCCTGTGCTTCTGTTGTTTTTGTACTTTAACACATTAGTGGGTCTGAGATCTCATAGAAATTGGTACTCCATCCTTTGGTACAGATGTAAATCTTTTTTTTCTTCTGTGCAACAGATATTCCCTGCTGAAGGCCTTCCTACATTTTGCATATTGAATAAACCAATGTAGTTTTTGGGCTGTCCATCTGTTAACCCTTCTTACTCATTTAATATTAGTGACTTTCTTTTCCAATTATACTTTTTCTCAATAATATCTTTTAAGCCACTTTTTTAATGTATGTCACCAGTAGAAATATGCAACAGCTTACCGGTGGCCACCATGCATCCCTCCATTATCTTTTCATTCACTTCTCTAATTTCACAAATTATGGTATTCCAAACTCTCCATCTATGAAGAATAAGTAGGAAAAGATCCATATTGAAAAGATGGGTCTTTGCACTAGAGAGAACCTTGAGATCATTTAATGCGCCATGCAATTTTTAAAATGCAATTCATTCTTCTCTTTTTCCTATTCAATTCAGGGTTCAACTCATTGTCTGTAAGTAGTGCTTGTCCCAAATATATGTATTAATGTACTAACTCAAGTTCATTCTCCTGCATATCATAATCTGGATGATAGGCATTTGATTTTTCCTATGTGGCTTATTAGGCTATTCTCAAATAATCATGGAACATCTTAATGTTTTAGGACTGGATGCAATTGTCACAGCAACATCCACCAACAATAGCATCTAGAGGATCACAGTCAAAGGATTTTCAAGAACTGGAAGGGAACTCAGTGACTATCTAATCCAATCCATAGATGAAAAATAAGCCCCTCTAAAACATAAACAAGTTACTATCTAGCTTTTGCGTGAAGATCTCCAAGAAGTGGGAATACTCTTTTAAAATACGCCTTAAAAATAGCTCAGTGGCACTCAGCTCGTCACCTCTCTATCTGGAGGAGGACAGCATGTTGTATCATAAGTCCTCTGAAATTGTGGTTGTTTGATCAGAGTTTCCAAGTCTTTGAAAGTTGTTTATTTTTATATTATTGTTGGTATTGTATAAACTTTTCTCCTAATTCTGCTTATTTTAGTTTACATCAGTTCATATAAGCCTTCTCAGGTTTCATTTCTGAAAGTACAAGAGTATTCCATCACCTTAGTCATTCCCCAAAGTGATGGGCATCACCTTAGTTTCCAGTTTTTTTGTCAAAACTAAAAGAACTGTGATAAATATTTTCGTACATATAGGTCCTTTTCCCCTTTCTTTAATCTCTTTGTAGTATTGACCTAGTGATATTTCTGGGTCAAGGAGAGTGGACGGTTCAATTGGTTTGGGGGTATAGTTCCAAATTTTCTTCCAGAATGTCTAGACCAATTCACAATTGCACTAACACTGCATTAATGGTTTTCTCTACCCCCTCCAGTATTTGATATTTTTCATTTTGTTTTGTCAAACTGATGGGTGAGAAATGAATCATAAATGTACCTTAAGTTTGCATTTCTCTAATTATTAGTGAGTTAGAGCACTTTTTCATGATAGCTTGGATTTCTTCCTTTGAAAATTGTTTATTCATACTCTGACTACTTATCAATTGGAAATGGATTTTATTTTTGAATCAGTTCCATGTCCATCTTATCTGAAAAAGTCTAATTTGACTTTTTCTTTTTTTTTTTTTTTTTTGGTGAGGCAATTGGGGTTAAGGGACTTGCCCAGAGTCACACAGCTAATGAGTATTATGTGTCTGAGGCCAGATTTGAACTCAGGTCCTCCTGACTCCAGGGCCAGTGCTCTATCCACTGTGCCACCTAGCTGCCCCTTATTTAGGATTTTTCAAAGAAACTTGCTGCAAAGATTGTGTTTTATTTACCTACCTGTAAATTTATCAAAATGTTAAAATTTTATGTAATCAAAATTTTCCATTTTACCTTCTATAAGGTCTATAAGATCTAAATTCAGCCTGATTGTAGTGAATAATCTTTGTGATATGTTACTGTGGTTTCCTTGCTAATATTTTATTTATGATTTTTGCACTCAAATCCATTAGAGATCCTTTCTACCTCTTACTTGGTTATAAATTCTTTTCCTAACTATTTCTTCCTTGGTCCTTTAATTTGTTTAGTATGTTACCCTTATATCTAAATCATGTACCTATTTGGAGCTTATGTTGGTAGACAATGTGAGGTGTTAGTAATACCTAATATCTTCCAATCTGCTTTCCCAACAATTTTTGTTAAATAGATCATTTTTGTTCCAATCTGGGATCTTTGGATTTATTAAACACCAGGCTACTGTGCTTGTTTTCTTCTGTATATTGTTTACCTAATCTGTTCCACTGATCAATCTATTTCTTACCTAGTACCAAACTGTTCTGATGATTATTGCTTTATAGTATAGTTTGAGGTTTATAAGTGCTCAGCCCCCTTTCTTTTCAACTTTTTCATCATTTATTTTGAGATTATTAGCCTTTTGTTTCTCTAGATGAATTTTATTGTTATTTTTTTCTAGCTCTATAGAGTAATCCTTTGGTAGTTTAATTGTTATGGCATAACATAAGTAAATTAATTTAGGAAGCATTGTCATTTTTAATATATTGGCTCAACCTACCCATGAACAATGAATATTTTTCCAGTTATTTAATCTGTCATTATTTGTGCAAAGAATATTTTGTAGCATATAATTCCTGTGTGTATTTTGACAGGTAGACACTCAAGTATTTTATACTTTGTTTACTGTTTTTAAATGGATTATCTTTATCTCTTTCTGCTGGATTTTGTTGGTAATATACAGGCATGCTGATGACTTATGTAGGTTTATTTTATATTCTGTAAATCTACAGAGGGAAGGAAAGAAGGAAATCAGCAGTTACTAAATACATGCTATGTGCCAGGCAGCTAAGCACTTTGCAAATATATTGTCATTTGATCCTTTCAACAACTCTGTGAGGTAGTTATGATTATTTTCCTCTTTTTGCAGGTAAGGAAACTGAGGCAGATGGAGTTAAGTAGCTTGTCCAGGGTCACATAGGTAGTGTCTGAGGTCAGATTTGAACTTAGGTGTTCCTCCATTAATTTAGTGTTCTATCCATTGTGCCAAGTAAAAAAAGTGAAAATTTTGTTTCATCTTTGTGTTTATTCTAAAAATTTCTTGTCTTATTGCTATAGATAGCATTTTTATTCATATTGAATAATATCAGTGATAAAGAACATACTTATTTACCCATGATCTTATTGGAAAGGGCTCTATTTTTGTACATCACAAGTAATGCTGGCTCTTGGTTTTAGATAGATACTAAATATATTAAAGAAATCTCTGTTTATTCTTATGCATTTTAGTATTTTTAATAGAAATGGGTGTTATATCTTGTCAAAAGCTTTCTCTATCTCTTAGTATAATCTGATTTTGTTCTTGTTATTAATACAATCAATTGTTTGTTTGTTTTGCTAATGTTGAAACATCCTTGCATTTGTGGTCTGAATTCATCCTAATTGTAGTGAATAATCTTTGTAATATGTTGCTATGGTTTTCTTGCTAATATTTTATTTATAATTTTTGCACTGATATCCATTAGAGATATTAGAATTTTCATTCTCAGTTTTGGCTGTCCCTGGTTTAGGTGTCAAGACTACATTTGTATCACCTTGGTGATGTGAAATAATTTTCCCTGTCCTTCCTCTTGCTTCTCCTTACCCCACTCCTAGTGTGTTCCTTTTCCCCTTACTTTCCATTCTTCTTTTAAGGTTATCAAAGCAAAACAAAACTACTAACAACCCCTTTGTCTAATTAAGACTTCCACAGTGGCCTCTGATGATAAGGTTTTGTAGAGATATATATGTCATCTACCCATATTCGAATGTAAATAGTTTGTTATTGCTTAATCCGTTATGCTTGTTTGCTTACATTTACCTTTTTATGATTCTCTTGACTCCTATATTTGTATTTCAGAGATTTTACTCATCTTTAGTATTTTTATCCGCTATGCTTTACACCATTAAAGATCCATTTTCTCCCCTGAGTAGAATTATACTTAATTTTCCTGGGTAAATTACTCTTGACTATAGTCCTCTATCCTTTGCCTTCTGGAATGTCATATTCCAAACTCTCTGTTTCTTCAAAGTGATGGCTGATCTTGTGTGATTGTGACTGTGACTCCTTAGTCCTTGAATTTTTTTCTTTTTGGTTGCTTGCAGTGTTGTTTCCTTGACCTAGAAGCTTTGAATTTTGACTGTATTGTTTCTAGAAATTTTCATTTGAAGGTCTCTTTCAGTTCATGACTGATGTGTTCTTTCAGTTTCCATTTTATTCTCTAGTTCTAAGAGATCTGGGAAGGTTTCTTTTATTTCTTGAAGTATGGTATGTTTTCTTTTTTGCTTTCAAGTATTTCAACAATTCTGAAGTTACCTCTTCTAAATTTGTTTTCCATGTCAGTTTTTGTTATGAAATACCTTATATTTTCTTCTATTTTTCAATTTTTTGACTTTGTTTTTAACATTTATTGTTATGTCATGATTTCACTATTTCTTATTTGGTATATTCTAATTTTCAGGGAGTCTATAAAGGTTTGTACTTCTTCTACCAAGTTGTTAATTCCTTTTCCAACTTTTCTTCCAAA